AATGCCGATGCAGCGTTTGCTTGCTCTACTTCTAGGTAACACCTGCACAGCAGGGAAGTTGCTTTGATGCCTCATCTCTTCCTGTCCTGATTTCTTGCTCTTGTTCCCTTTTGGCACTTTTATATCAATTGAGCTGTTTTGTTTTTAATTTTGTCTTCCCTATTTTAAAAATGAGCTGTGAGACCGTCCACTTGGACCAGCCAGCATTTCCCTAGGGCAGGTTTCTAGGAGAGCAAGCAAGGGACTGCAGAGCAGCATAAATGCTGCTGAGTCTGCACACGGCTGAAGTATTTCCAGGCACAGGAGTGGTTTGCTAGTATGTCTGTGCCACTGTGGCTGTACTCTGCGGGCAAATGTTGCTCCTGTTCCATCCAGTATCCTAGAAAGCAAGGGTCATTTATTAAGGGCGGTGTGATAAGTGTGTGCCGTGGTACGTCCTAACGATGTTTTGAATTAGGCTTGTAAACTTCTGTTTGGATTTTTCATGATTTTTTTTTTTTTTTTTTTGCAAGGTGGTTGAATAATTGGTACCTGTTTGTACTTCGATGACAGCAGTTATATGCTTAATGTTTTTGGTAGTGAATCTCTTAACTTGTGGATTAAATCCCTTTAATCTTTGGCTAATTTTTAATGTCTGCTTTTGAAGATCTTGGCTTTAATTCAGACCAAGCCTGTGGCAGACATGATTGCTAGTTCAACATAAATGTCAATTTGAGAACAGATGTGTTCCTAGAGCGCTTACATGGCAAGGAATCAATAGCAGTTTGTAGCTGGCATTGAGAGCTATGTGGTAGCACTCTGGGAAGGGAGATCTCTTATTTACTCTTTCCTGCTTTATTGTGTTGCACTGCTGAATCAAGCTTTCTGTTAACTAGGCCTTGTTTTGGATCTCGGAACAAATCCACTGCAGCATCACTTTCCACAAAGAAAATTCTGCTGTTTTCTGTGCTGTATCGTGCTGTTCTTAGCCTTCCCTGTCTGTAGAGCCATTTGATCTGGAGAGGAAGGTCAAAATCGGAGCTGGTGGGCGTTGTAGAGGTTGATTACTCAATTTGTCTGCCAGTGCTTCATTAAATCAGTTCTGAACGCTTGACCTTTCCTGACCAGCTCTGACTTTTTGTTTGCGTGCAGGTTGTGTGTGGGCAGGACCACAGTCTGTTCAGAACCAAGAAAGGTGCGGTCTACGCGTGTGGATGGGGAGCTGATGGACAAACAGGTAGGAGCTTAGCTCCGCTTGCATTTCAGTGAATTGATGAATATAGCAAGCTGTCCTAATTCAGAGCTTGTGATGTGTATTTGTCTGGCATGTGTGGACAGAAAGGGGCTGGTATGTTTCCAGCTGTGTGGAGATGTTCTCAATACTCTTGTGCAACCAAACTGAGACAAACCAGTTCCTTTTTAGAGGAGCTTTAGGATGCCACGCTGGCAATCCAAGCATGCAATCTGAGGAGAATGTGTCTGCTGTTTGAAGCTAGTGAGGGGATGTGGAAGTGGCATGGGAAGGTTAGCTCCTTGGTTCTGTGCAGGCTTTGCTTCCCGATTCTGATTTCAGGGTGTGTTTTGCTTCTTACTCCGTTTGGACTGACAGAGACCTTTGGCAGCTACTGCTCTCTTAGCATGGGATCTTTGGCCAGGCCCTTGCCCTGGTGGCTCCTGCTGTCAGAGGACTTCCAGTCCTTCCTACTGTTTAGTCCTGCTGCTCCTGAAGCTGGGTTATGCCCATGGTTCTTTTGTGTGGACGTACTGTAGCTTGTCTGTCATCTACATTCTGGTCTCTTGTCCAGGCAGCTCTTTGTCACGTAATGTGTTTGCTTCCCAGCCTCTTTTGCCTCTTCACCTGCTGGTGTCTAAACTGATTGCAGTGTGCTGTCACCCAGGGCTCTCCTTGCAGAAGACAGCTGGTTTGTGAAACTTCACCTCTGTGGGGATATCTGCCTAGTTTGGGTGCTGCTCTCTCAAACACTTTGGTCCATGCAGACAAGAGGGATGAGGGCCTAGATTGTTTTCCAGGTGTGACTGTATAAAGTTGTTTTGTACTCTAGAGAGGTAGCTTTGGCTACTAGGACTGGTGTTTGTGGCTGATTGTCCATTGAAGCTTAAGAGATATGGACAGAAAGATTTATTTTGGAGGAAGGAGGGTGATTGGGTTATAACATGACAAAACGGTCCTATGTAGGTGTTAAAAGTATGTCTGGAGAAAAATTCATCATCATCTCTCTACTTTTCTCCTTCCAGGTCTTGGACACTACAACATCACCAGTGTTCCTACTAAGCTACATGGTGACATCGCTGGGGTAAACATTATCCAGGTCTCTTCCTATGGGGACTGTTGTCTGGCTGTTTCAGATGAAGGCGATGTCTTTGGTTGGGGAAATTCAGAGTACTTGCAGTTGGCCTCTGTCACAGAAACCACACAGGTCAGTTGGCCTGGGGACGTGTTTTTACATGTTTCGGCTCAGCTGCTGCACACAGAGTTAAAAATTACACACTTCTCCCTGCTCTGGGTTCTTTTGACAGCAGTATAAATCAATATAAACTAATACCACTAGCAGGCTGGTTTTACCTATGCTTACAAACCCAATCTGTCTGAAATGGTTGTATAGCTTTAGGGCGGTATGTTCCCAGCTATCGATAGGCGAAGGCTTGTGTCACCTCACCCCAGTTTGTTAGTCTGTTATAAAGGAAGAGTACACCCCATGCTCTCCTTTCCCCATCCCATGGACTTTGCACGAAATTAAGATCCGGCTTGAGTGGATCCAGCTTGTGCTGGTTTCAGGACAGGAATTAGTCTTTTGGCTGGCTAATCTAAAATTTTGAGTGGTCCTGCTTTGAGCATGGTGCTGCTCCAGATGACCCTTGGAAGTCCCTTCCAATCAACCCCTACATTGGTGAATTTTTCATGAACAACCTTAGTAGGTTTATAGCTCAGTCCTAAACAAATCCCAGTGTCTCACAGATAGAAGTTTTTTGGAGTAAACTTATGTGGGGCCAAAACATACTGCTGACTTGACACTAAGCATTGTAGTACTGAGGTAATTAGACAGATGGTCTCGTCTTACAGTTAGTGTAGGAAACGGAGTCAGGGAATTAATTAATACTCAAGCTATTCTTGGCAGATGGCTAAGAGCAGACAATTGCGTTAGTATGGCTTTAGTGAAATATGTACCTTTGTTTCCCATGCCTCTCCTGATGTGTCCTTAATGTAGGGCTAATTACGGAGACCCGTAAGGCCTGAAGACAATCACCAGGTTAAGTAGTGTAGTAGTTTCCTGGCTGGGTGCTTGATGGAGGTTGGAGGAGTCTGAAATGGATGAATGGCATGTTTGCCAAAGTGGGAATTTTAGATATGATATAAATAAAGTCCAAATTGTGGAATAGCAGAGCTGGATATTATCTGTGAAATCCAAGGTATCTGTTTACATGTGTCAAGCCATGTAGGTATCGAACTGTACCAAATAAGAGTGATGTTCTCTGAGCGATTTTTCCCTAGTATGTTCAAAAATGCCACCGCAGACCAAATTTTAGTGATCTTGTCCATTATGAAAACTTGCAAATGTGCTCACCTATTGACTTTCCCATTGTGTCTGACTTACAGAGCCAGGGATATAAGCAGACATAAAGCTTTCCCAGCTTTGTTGCCATGCGTGTAAGCTTTCCAGTGGGTAACTTTTTCCACTTTGTCTGCACTCTCAGCCTTAATGAATTTCGTGTAGTTTTTTTAATCTTGGGACCTGTATTCATTCCATTATTCAGGCAATAAAGGTTGTCTGTGTCAGGAATTCAGTGTATGTAAGCTCTAACCAGAACTAGAAAACAAGTTAAAAATGTGTGTCTAGTTTGCGGTTTATTACCTTGTCTCTAACGACTCTCTTGCAACCTCATACAGGTGAATGTTCCCAGACACTTGCCTTTCAAGATTGGGAAGATAAAGGAGGCTGCCTGTGGAGGGACTGGCAATATCGTGCTGACGGGTGAGTTTGCTTTTAGTTGTCCTCTTCAGTGCAAGGCCATGCAGTAGGTGGATTGTAACTTCATGGAGCAAGGATCTTGTTCACTGGAAACAGGGAAGTACTGTCTGTTACGAGGAAAGCTGGGAGACTGAGAAACGTGTGATTTAAGAATGTACTAGGGGAGTTGTTTTCACTAGCTGTATGTGCTGTTGTGAGCACTTACGCAAACTATAATGAGCATGGTTGCTGCTTGCTGTTCTGATCCCTTGGTTTGTTGACCACGTGGGCCATGTGTGGCCTGTAATGAAGATGGATATAGGGAGGAAGTAAGGCAACACTTGGGAGAAAGGAGAGCCCTTCAGACTCAATATAAATCTGATATATAAATAAATCTTGATAAAATAGGCTGGAAATTAGAGAGTTCTGAGAACAGTGAAACTCTGCAGCAGACTTCTTAGTGAATGCTGCTTTGGATTGCCAGTGGCCAGGGGAGCACAGCTTGAAAGGCACGGAATAAAGGAGCGAGGGAAAGATTGCACTACTTTTATGAAGGATCAACTCAAGGAAGACGTTCATATATATGATGCGGTTGCTGTGACGACAAGACATTTGAGCTTCTAGCATGAAGGGAGCAGAGCTAGCAGACTTAGCAACTTACTCCGTCTTATGCTGTCCAACTGCTGCCTTTCCCAGGCACTCAGCTTAAGGCAGAATGCCAGACAAAGCGACTAGCCTACCACTGGTTTGGCCGTGCCTCAAAGAAAAAAGCGGTAATAATAAAACATTCAGCCTCTGTCTCATCAGTCAGTAAGCTGAAGTATTTTATCCTGCCCACACTGTGTTGGCATTTTTTCCCCATGGAAGTTTTGCCTGTGAAGATTGATCGGCTTGCACAGCTTAGGAAAAAATTAAGGCATTTGAATGGCAGTGCATTGTTGCTACTTTTAAATAATCAAAAGGTGCTAGACTGCTCTGTGAGGAAGGAAAATATCCCTTTGGATCTGATTAACTCTTGGTCATGGCATGAATTACACAAGCACAGACTTTCTAACAGAATGTGTTCTTATTTTAATACAGAAGAAGGAAATGTTTTTGTCTGGGGATATGGAATTCTTGGGAAAGGACCAAACCTAATAGAGACAGCAATGCCAGAGATGATCCCTCCCAGCCTTTTTGGCTGGTCAGACTTCAATCCGGACATCCGTGTTGCTCACATTCGCTGTGGACTCAGCCAGTTTGCAGCACTTACAAGTAAGTTTCTAGTCCTACTGTCATGGAGAAGTCACATTGGCAGTTAAAAGAAAAACAAAAAAAGCACCCATCTTTCTTTAAACTTAAAGCACGCTTGTGTGCAACAGGAGGGGCAGGCAGCACATTTACAGGTGTCAGCATGGTTTCTAACATAGGTACTTCACTAACTTATGCTTTAATTAAGAAAGTGTTATCCTAAAGCAAACAAAATTTCTCTCAAACAGGAAACCTGGGAAGGTTTTTTCATTTTCTTGTACAGAATAAGTCAGTCAGTTGCACTTTAGAAGCAGCAGGAAAAAAAACGTGATAAATGAACAAACTAAAACTGAGTCTAAATCGGAGCTAGATGTTAGGGTTTCTTGGCTCTTCTGACCAATTCAGTTAGCAATCTGAGGTGGGAAGACCTACACATTTAACATGCAAAGGGTATCATACTCTGGTATGTACACCCTGTACTGGATACCAGCCTTTAAAGGAAGTTTTGAATTTGAAAGTCATTTAAAAATGGGCAGCAGAGGGCAGCAGCACAGAAAACCCACGTACTTGGTAGCGAAAGTAATAGTTTACTAATGCAAAGTGCCAGGTGCCAATGTGCTTGGTCCTTCCTGGGGAAGCGGTGTGCGTGACTGTCAGTCAGGTCACAGACTGCTGGTAACTGGTCTCCCCCTGGTATTCAGGAAGAGTTAGAAACTGCGTTCTGATTAAACTGTACTTACGTTATAGATTGTGTTTTGGTTGTCTCTGCTGTGGGGCTGATCTAAACACTTCTGAGATCCGAGAGGCTTAAAACTGTCCGACTCTGTTGAACACAAGTTTTTTTTCTTTTTCTCCAGTTGGCATTAGAAGGTCACTTCTGTCAGGCAGCTGAATAACCAGTCCCCAGGTGGTGGCTTGGGACAGATTTCACTGCCTTGCTTACCCCGTTTGCTGTGCTGATAGCTGATGTGGGTCAGCTGTAACTGTCTAACTTCCAGCACAAATGATTCACTTCACCACAATGATTCCCTGGAATCTCTTCTGCTGCACTCTTTTCTTCAAATAAAATTCCAAAGCAAGAGCTGTAAGAGGGGGAAGCAAAGACTTGTGCCCAGAACTTGCTGCTTGTCCTGCTCATTAGGCATCATTTTCCCCAAGCACAAGTACATTTATTGTGCTTGGAACTAAACTCAATGGCTTTCATACTGCATGTATAACCCTTTATACTCCCAGAAGTGCTGTAGCCACACTTGCCAGCATCACAAATAGAATTCTTCCTTTCTAATGACTATGCCCTATTATTTTTTTCTTTTTTCTTTTTCCCTGTATAGACAGAGGAGAACTGTTTGTATGGGGCAAGAATCTAAGAGGGTGCCTAGGAACTGGAAGAATGGAAGACCAGTATTTCCCATGGAGGGTAAGGATGGTAGTTTTAAGGCCAAGAGTATATTCTTTAGCTAGTCTTTGTTATCCTGAGGGCAAGAAACATCATATCCTGCATAGTTTTGTTGAGTAATTTTGTAAGAAGTGGAAGCCTAAGATAACTGTAGAACTGCTTAGTTTTCCAGAGATTGTTGCCTAGCCTGCTTAGGGATGCAGGTATTCAGTAAATTTTTTTGAGTCTTCTGGTTCTGCTATTTCAGTATAGATTTCAGATCCCAAAGCAAAATCTGGTGCTGTGCCATTGCTTCTGAACGGTTCTTACCCTCCTGCTGTCCACAGTCTTCTACCTGCTACCCCTTACTGGCTCTTCCCTTCCCTTCTCACCTGCGCTTCACTCTTGTGCATGCTGCAAAGAAAACCACCAGTATTGGTCATCTGTGACCCAGAAGACTTGCATTACACATCTAAATTAGGTGAATGTCTTGGTCGTGGTCATGGTCTGCACAGCAGCGGGCTGCTTTCCCCTTCTATTCCAAGTGAAGCAGCTATGGTGGTGGGTCACTGGACTGCCTGTGTAGTTACACTAGGAGATCCTTAGCCACTGGACTTTCCTAGCTGTTTCGCAACACTTCCAGTTCCACTCCCTTCTCTCAGATGGCTCTGAGCGCCACATTCTGTGGGTGTAGAAGAGTCTTTGCCTCTGGAGTTCAGCACTCAGCCTAACAGATGTTCCCGGTCTCCATGAAGGCCAAATAGGAGAGGAGGGAGGCAATCAATTGGACCACCCTGGAGTCCTTTTCCGTGTGTCTGAACTTGCAGTGGATGTGTTTCTTTGGCATGCTTTCTCCTCCTTTTAAAAATGAACAAAAAAAGACCAAGTCTGGAGCATTTGCCTAAAATCACACTCCTGTGGCTGAGTGGAGTCTCTGAATTCACCAAGCGTGGCATGTCCAGGTTTCCTTAAGCGTGGACGCAGAGGGTTATGCTCCCTCAAACAGCCAGCTCCTGTCTGACACTACTACGGCAATGTACCAAACCAGGGTACCTGTCTGTGACCTCCTGCCCTAGAACTGGTCATCTCTCCTCTCCCTTAGCTCTAAGGAAAAACTTCCACTCGTAGCCTCTGCTTTCCTGTAACTTTAAGTCAACTTCAGGTGAAAGAGCTATAACTACACTAGTGAGTGAGCTGGGTCTGCTTAGCATCAAAGCAAAAACTGCCTTAGGCTGCACTGAGCTTCTGCCTCATTCCAGACCTTGCTGGTGAGAGAAGAGGCAAATCCTTGTGGTGCTTGGGCAGATCCTCTTCCTGCTGTCTGGATTACTCTGTTTGGTCGTGCTGTTTCTGCTGCTGAACAGATGGGCTGAGGCTACAGTCTCCTCGCTGTCTGCTAGTGAGACCTCTCTGTCCTTCCAAAGGTTTACGTGCTTCTGTGAAGGGAGAAAGGGAATATTTCACAGCTCAATGCACAAACATGTCTAGTGCTGAATCTGGCTTTCTCTGGGTTTGCAAGATGGCACTTTCATAGGTACAAGTCCCCGTGAAACCAACTGGCATGTTAAGCAGAAGGAGGATGAGAAATTGGAAATATCAGGTGCAAAATGCCAGCTTGAGAAATAACGCGCTCTTGTGTGTCTGATCCAGGTGACCGTACCCGGTGAGGTGGTGGATGTTGCGTGTGGAGTTGACCATATGGTCAGCATGGTTAAGTCTTTCACCTAGTGATACTGCTGGGCCTCAGCACTGTGCTAAGACGACGGGGGGACTTGGTGACGAGCTTCTTGGAAAGGAAGACTCATTCCGTGCAACCAAGCAAGAAGTGACTGTGAGCAGAGACAGCCGTAGCAGTGCCTGGGTGTGTTGTCATCTCTGCATCATTGAAACGCTCCGCCCTGGCTGCAGGAAAGATGCACGTTCCCCGAGGAGTGCTCCGACTGGTTCGTGATGAGCTCCCAAAGAGTCTGGGGCCCAGCCCACAGCTGGTGAGTCCCTCTGTGTGTAAGGATGAAGAGCATCTCCCTCAGGGAAAACTGGCACGAGGTGAAATCTGTAGCACAGGACATTAATTTACGGATGCTTTCCCTCTCACCAGCTCTGGGGTGTCAGTGTTGGGTTGAGCCAAGCTATTTTTCCAGGGAAAGAGTTTTTTAATAACTACTTTTTATGTGGAAGAAAAGTCGTGCTGGCTGTTGGAATCCAGCACAGCTGTCCTTGGAGTCCGCCACCAGCTGCACGCTGCCTAGGCTGCCGTTCCCTGCAGCAGTCTGGAGTGGCCTGGAAGCAGTGGTGTGCTAGCGGGGGAAGGATCTTAACGGGCAAGAAGCAGAGCCTTGTTTCTCGGTACTTTCTTAGCAGAGAAGTTGTGGCGAGCACCTTTAGGCCAGAGTAGGCTGCTGGAGATGGGATGCAACAGCTGTATGGACCTGTAGCGGGCACTTACAAATCTCATCCTGAAGTGCGGGAATCTGTCTCCTGTGAAATACTCCAAACATCAGGCAGAGTTGTATCACTTTTTCTGTGTGGGATACTTCTGCTGTGTAAATTATTTTGGCAAAAATCCAAGCTGATACATTTTTAATAAAGTGGTAATGGAAATATTCTTGAGCTTGACTTCATACATGGGCTGCTCTGTCTTGCACTCTGCATTTAAATTTGAGCATTTTGATTCACAGCGATGTGACAGGAAACCTCTTTTGCCACCTGGGACACCTCTGCACCTGCAGGACTGACACCCTTGGAGGCGGGCACTGTATCCACGGTCCCAGAGGACACCAAATACTCACATTTTGGCTCCATTATCTGAAATTCTACATCAAATCTGTTGTGTAATTACCAAAACTCAGGGGGTAAACTCAACCTTGATGAAGTAAGTCTTGAAGGACTTTGCATAAAATACAGGAGAGGTGAAACAAAGTACTCAGAAATAAAGAGATGTATGTGAGGTGTTATTACCAGTACTGTGTGACTGGTATTGCTGTGGTGGGTTGAGGCGGAACAAGCAGAAAGCTCGTGTTAAATTGTGGCAGACCTTCGCTGCTGTGAATTCCCATTAAGTGAGCTTTAATTTATGCCTTTGTCTCCATGCAACTTGAGCTGCCCAGACATGCCTTGTTGGCCTCATGGGAGTAGCTATGCCCTTTTAACGTGAGGAAGCTTATTAAAGCATTGAAAACAAATGGAAAAAAAATGATGGTAAGAAAGGTGTTTCTAACAGCCCCCGTCGTGGATGTTGCTGTTGCAGAGGGCTGCGCAGGGTGGCTGGTGGGTGCTGGGGAGCGCCCCGGGCTTTTAGCTGCTCTCGTTCACAAGCGTTCCCTGATGCCGCTTGGGGCTGGGCCTTTTGGAGAGCTGGGATGAGAATTAATGCCGTGTCATACCTGGTTGTTGCAGTCTTGCTGTGCAATAAATTGCAAAATCTGTGTGTTAATTAGATGCCAGCAAGGTCTTTAGCCCTAAATAGAAGTGTTGTATGGCTTAATGCAGTGGGAGCGTTTGCGCTTTCGTTACAGGGGCTGTGGGCATTTGTGAGCACGCTGCTCGATGGGACCAGGGTTAGCAGCAGAGAACCTGCGGTCTGGCCAACCCCGGCACCGACCCTTGCTTTGGTTAAAGTGCGGTGGGGGTTGACCTTGGCCAGGCGCCCACCAGGCTGCGCTGTCACTGCCCCTCCATCCACAGGACGGGGAGAAAATGCAGTGGAAAGCTTATGGGTCGAGATAAGGACGGGGAGATCACTTACCAGTTACCGTCATGGGCAAAACAGCCTCGACTTGGTGGAAATTAATTTATTGCCAATGCAACAGAGCAGGGTAATGAGGAATAAGAACAAATCTAAAAACACCTTTCCCCCACCCCTCCCTTCTGCCTTGGCTCAACCTTACTCCTGACTTTTCTACCTCCTCCCTCCTCATTCACTGACCTTGGTGTCTGCAGGGTTGTTTCCCACATATTCTCGCTCCTCTCTCCCAGCTGCTGTTGCGCAGCAGTTTTTTCGCCTTCTTTAATATGTTGCCACAGAGGAGCTGCTGCCCTCGCTGATGGGCTTGGCCTTGGCCAGCGGTGGGTCTGTCTCAGAGCGGGTGGAAGTGTCTCTGCCTGACACGGGGGCAGCTCCTGGTGTCTTCTCACGGAAGCCACCCCTGCAGCTGCCCGCTACCGAAACCTCGCCACCCGATACAAGCGGGCATTGCTGAAATGATGTGATCCACAAATCAGATTAAGGCGTGTCCGGAGCCATCAGCGAGGCTGTGGCAGCAGTGGTTTCGTTATTCATGGCGTCGTGCACCACTTGCAAAGTTAGATATGGCCTGAGACCCCCAGGCCCAACACCGGCTCCCAGGGCATTTGCGTTTGCTCAGCAGTTTTGTACAGAGGGGTCAGCGTGCGAAGTGGATGGCGAGAGCTGCCAGGGCAGTGACAAATGTAGGAGCTGCCGTCCTGCCCTATAGCCCTACAATCTAAACGCATGTAAAGAAATCCTCTGCTCCCTGCAAGCCTTCAGCGCGAGACACTAAGTAAACCTAAAGCCCCTGCAGCCCTTGCAAACAGCAGCCGCAGGGAGGAGGGGGTTTGGCCACTGTCTTTGCACCCTGCTCAGCTGCAAAGCCTCACAGCGCTGCCAGTGTGGTATTTGTCTGTGGATGATTAAAGACCAAATGGAAACCATATGTCCAGCCCCGTGCTGTGCAGCTGCCCCGCTTTCCATCTGAAAGGGCTCCTCTGAGCCCCTGCCAGCGTGCCCCGGGGAGGCGTCCCTCCCGGTAGGCACCGGGGAGCTGCAGCCAGGGCTGAGACCTGGGGAGGCCAGGAGGGCTGCAGCGGGGGGGGTGTGCCGGAACCCCCTGCCCCGCGCAGCCTGTGGGACTGGCTGGGCCGTGCCCCACAGCGCGGCCTCGCCGCCGGCCAGCCGGGGAGAGGCTGCGGAGGAGAAGCAGAAGATGCGCAAGCACACCCGTCTTTTAGCCAGGGCATTTCATGGCGTGCCAGCCCTGCGGCCGGCTCTGTGGCACCGTCCTGCCTCAGCTCACCCAGCCGGTTGGGGATGGTGTGGCCGCAGAGGCCTTGCTCTCAGCAGCTGCGGCTTTGCTAAGTGGGAGTGATGGGCAACAAGTGCCTTTGCCAGGGAGGGCAGTGCCAGGAGCTGCCGCGCCGGCATCAGTGCCCCATGTGTCAGCATGGGTGAGCTGCATTCATGCTTGGCTTTGGGTTTGTGTTTTTGGGGTTTTTTTTTACATTATTATTCTTAAATTATTATTATTGCTTTTAGTAATGCAACCTGTTCACTGTTTTATTTGTATTTTTTTTGTTAAATAGACTTTGGCATTGGGCACCCCCCACCGGCAGAGCAGCCCCTGCTGTGCCACCCCTCAGCCGGCAGCAGGCTGGCCAGGCCGTGGTTTTGGTGTCTGAGCTCAGCTGGTGGCCAGGACCGGCAAGGAGCCAGTACTCGCGTGGCGTCGCCGCCTGCACGGCTCAACCCCGCGGGAAGCCTGGGAACAGCAGCTTGTGCTGCAGAGGGGGACACTGAGGCTGGGGAGAGCCGGCACCTTCCTCGGCTCCGGCTGCCAGGAGAGACGGCGCGAAGGAGCGCCCGCAAAATGAGATCCTGGAAACAGGTTTCCCTTTCCCTTTTGGGGGGGCAGGCAGACAGCAGGAGCGCACCGCACTGAAAGGAGCCCTTTCAGCAATGAGTTGCTTTGATGAGCAGCCAAACGTGAGAGACGGGAGGCTTTCCCTGCCCAATTCTTTGCATCTTTCGAGCCTGGCTGACAAACGTCCTGCTCTGCTGGTCTGTTGAGCTCCTCCCAATTCAGCTGTGGGTCCAGTTTCATAGAAAGCACTGGCAGCCGGCTGCTGCCAGCCTGCCCAACCCTCGGCTGGTGGAGCCACTGGCTCTGGTGCCCAGAGAAACCTTTCATTACAGCTCTGGTGCCGGGTTTCTAAACAAGAGACTTGCTTGTCATTCGTATAATACTTTTTTTCTCTTGCTAAAGGAAGGGACCTTCATGGCTAAATCTGGTCAGTCTTTGGGCACCTCTTCCACTCGCCATGGCCGAGAGGTGGTGTGCAGGCTGCGGGGCATCGGAGACGCGGACCAGGAGATGGACAGGCGCAGCTCTGGGATGCAGCAGCTTGATGAGCCCGCAGCTGCAGCAGCGACGCAGCCCCTGTCCACCGGGTGAGTGCAACCTCTGGCGAAGGCGAAGGATGGGCCCTGGTGACTTCTGGCACCAAGAGGAAGGCTCCTGCCTCACCTGAAGTCTTACAACTACAAAATAGGTTCACTGCCCTCAAAACTGAAGAGGAGCCAGATGTGCCTTCAACCAAAGGCTCTGGTCCACATGACTATGTAAGACCACTGGGGTTTCCAACAGCAGGTTGCAAATTGGGGAACACAGCGGCAGGGGGATGAGCTGGGTCCAAATATATTTGGAGATTGCTGGTGGGGGTTTTGGCTATAAGAAAATTGGAGCATGCGGATGAAAAAGGCCCTAATTCACAGCAGCCCTGTAGCAGTGCTTTTCCCTGTACTGCTTTGTATCTAGGAAATAACTAAAAGACAAACATTTTATTTAAGAAGAAAAGGCTAGAAAATAGAAAAATAAATACACTCTTCCCCCCGCCCCCTTTCCTGTCAAAGGCAGCCACCAGCTGAGGGATTCACGCTGCCTCCCCGTGACCGATGGGCCAGGGCTGTGCCGGAGCCCTGCCTGCTGTACTGACCCCAGGCCATTACAGAGACCCGCTGGAAGGCAACTTTGCACCATTTTGTCCTTCAAAGTAGCAAATTAGCCAGCCCAAAATATACCTGCATCCCTAAATATACCTGCAGTGAGGCGGGGGTAGAGGCCAGGGAAGCACATGGGGAGCAGCTCAAATTAGAACTAAAATAACCTACTTGATTTCGCATTGATTAGCAAGAGTAATTTGCCCTCCAAACACCACTGCGCTGTCGGGTTTGGCTTAAAATAGCCTGAAAGCGCTTCAGGACAAGATACTGGTGTAGAGCCGTGTAGATGTACAGCTCCAAGCACGTCGGAGCAGGGCTGCGACGCCTCTTAGCGGCCGGGGGGGGGGGGGGCCTGCAGGAGGGAAGGCATGAGAGAGCCATGGCCAAAGTCCCTTTCCGCAGGGCACCATGCCAAGGGCTGCCGGCAATTCCCTGCAGGAGACAGTGCTCCCGTGGCCCCTCCACGAGCCCCTGCGCAGCAAGGCTGGGCTTGGCTACCAGCAA